CACAAAGACGAAGATCCTCCTGATAGAAAAGAAAATACATCGCAATTGTTATAACAGGTGATGACTGAAACAACTGTTGATATGCATGTAGTTGGGTGATAAAGGGCAATGTACCTGTCATGGTTTACCATTCGAGTAGGACCACGCCGGGCTATGGCACAATTTCGAAGCACGAACCGTGGATTCCATACATCTGGTCGCAGAACCATGTCTGCGGATATCATACATGACAGCCTGTCAATCGCTTCAATGCCAGTCCATCAGGAATCTGAGGAATTATCGCGACAAGTGGAGAAAGTGCGGAAAGTGTGGAGAGATGGAGAAAGCTGTGGTTATTAGTTACAGTCGCAGTCTGTTTCGTCTCTTTAGGAATGCGGGCCCAAGTAAAGTCGGCGTAAAGGATTTGATTAGGGAATCTGACGGTGCATCGGTTCGACATCAGCAACGCCGTCTCGATCGATGGGCAAAACATTCCGCAACTCAGTTCAGCTGTCCCCCATTGAGAGCTGAACTATCACCCCGAACCTCGACCTAACAATTACTCTTAGGTGATAGGAGTCCTCCACCTTAAATGGTTTCTCTCGAAATACCTCATCTGATAAGGCATAAGGCGACGATTGTCTACCTTACTGAAGGGTGCAAGCGAGAGAATCAGGCTGGTTCTCTACCTGGTCGAAGTTGTATAGACTATATTCCCCCTTCACCATGCCTTTTCATGGTAGTAATGAAGGATTGGATTCGTTTATCTAGGAAATTTCGCCGTATGGTGAGCAAATATGAGTCTTTGCCCCGGAGGCTCGTGCTTGGATGAGCGGCGTCTGATGCTTGCAGCAAGCTTGCGAAGTTCAATTTTTCCGTGGCGTATATAAGAAAAATGATAAGCCGGTCTGATCAGGTTGCGTTTTGCTTGTGAGGTTACGGGTTAGATCCGTATTTGGGTCGACGGATTCGAGCTGAAGATGAGACCCAACTTGGTATAAACAGCCGAACAGTGCTTACCAGCTTTAAAGTCCACACTTCATTTGCTGTTTACACGGCGTAGTATCTTGCATTAGCTAATTCCGACAGTCTATCGTCAAAAATGGGTAGGGTAAAGTGCTCCCGTCTTAATGTTTTGTGTAATGTTTTCGGATCGATACATATTCTCAATTCTCCAGACGTTTTCGTCACCAACACAACCTGACTCACCCAGTCCGTTGGTTCATCGACTTTCTCCGGTACGCCCTTTGTGATAAGGTTATTCACTTCACGCGAAGATTCCTCTCGAACAGCAAGTGGGATCCGCCGCGTTGGTAAAACAACGGGCTCGGCTGTGTCGTTTATGCGAAGTGTCACAGTTCCTGGCAACTTTCCTAATTTTCCATCAAAAACAGAGGCATACTTTTTCAGGTAGTATTTAGTGTCATTACAAACGAGGTGAACAAATTAATCATAGTTGAACGATACCAAACCAAGTCGCTCGATGGACTCATATCCAAGGGTTGGAACATAACCCGACTCCACGACAACAAAACTCACGACTGAAGAAACTCCGCTTCTAGGATTTTCCAGTGTAATAGTAGTTTCTCCTTTTGGCTCCACGTTTGCACCGTTCCACATAACCAATCTCGTCTGGGTAGGGTCCAATTTGGTATGGGGTACGCAATTTCTCGGTATAACGTTGACGGACGCACCAGAATCTAGTTGAAACGTAACTTCTTCTCCATTCACCAACATTTTTGCAAATATGCCTTTCCGTTTGGCCGGTAGTTGTACACCATTGACACGACCAGTTGCTCGAATGCGAGGTTGTAAAGTTGATTTTTTCTTCGCGAAACACTTTACTGCAAAATGATTACGCGTTTTGCTGTCATCACACGTTTTTCCCCAAGCAGGGCAGTTGATTCTTTCCATAAGATGTATGCGGCCACAGAAACGTCAAGCAGCTGTTGGATGTGTTCGATTTTCAGCGGTAATTTTGCACAATCCATGATCCCCTGTTGTGGTAAACGTCTCCATATGCTTCTCTGCTGCCTCTTCACTCCGACATATGTCAATGCATTGTTTCAATGTTAGCTTTGGAATTTATATGAGGGGCTTCACCACAGCGGAATCCCGTAGGCCAACGA